CATCATCATCATCATCAAGAAGAAAGGGACCTGAGAAGAAAGAGTTCAGAGAAGTCCCTGAGCAGGAAGGTTTGGATAGAGAGGAGCTAGCAGGATGAGGGGACCCTGATTGGGATCAGGCAGCAACAGCCATTTTCCAAGCCTGATCCCGGCTCAATCTCCCCTTCCGAGTAGAGAAAAAATGAAGGCAAGAAAGAGATCTAAGGATATGAAGAATGCAAGTAAGGAGGGAAACAGCCCATTATTGTCTTTTCTCACCTTCAGAAAGTTCCTGAGGGAAAAACAGTTATGAGTCTTTTTCCTAACCCCAACCAGTACCTACTGAACGAGAATCATCCCCAGGGCAGGACAAACACTACGAGAAGGAAAAATGAATCCCATGACCTGCCCCTATGGAACTGTCATATTGGGAGTGGGCACATCATGCTAGGTTTAGACATATCTAAACCTAGTGGGGAGGACCAATATTTAGCTCTGAAGCTGTAGACACAGCAGGAAGGCCACAGTAGAGAGAGCTCTGAGTCAGCCAGACCTGAAGGTAAGGGGCCTCGATGGCGGGACTAAAAGGAAATTTGAGATTTATTTTTTGTCCTTGAAGGAATTGGGGGAAATTCCAAGGATCCCAAATCAATTTATTAGCATTCCCATTCATAATTCATGTATTTTTCTTTTTCTTTTAATTAAAATTCGTAAAATAATAGAAATGTACTCCCCTTTCTAGTTGATTTATAGAATAGTGAAATTCTAAGACAAAGTAGTTCTTGGTATACCCTGCTCATATATTCTCATTAAGGCCAGATCAAGGCATGCCTTTGTGAAATGGGTTCCCTTAATCATGTCACTATTGTATTAGGAAAATATACTGGATAATATATTGGCATCATAATGTAAAAATAACTTTTTCTAGAACTGATCATATTCAAGCAAAACCACCACTCCTGTTGGCCTTGGCCACTTTCTTCACATCTCGAATGAAGTTTGAAAAGCGTAAACAAACAAACATAAACAAACAAAATTTAAACAGACTCATAGACACATGGACTCATTGACTGGTGGCTGCCAGAGGGGAGGGAGATTAGGGGACTGGATGAAAGAGATGAAGAGATTAAGAAGTATAAATTGGTAGTTATAGAATAGTCATAGTCTGTAAAGTACAGCATAGGGAATATAGTCAATAATATTGCAATACCTATGCATGGGGTCAGGTGGGAACTGCTCAGATGAAGTTTACCATCTTGTGGCTGTGTCAGAGGCATAAAAATATTGGGGGGATCACTTTGTATAAGTATATGATTGTCTAACCATTATACTGTACACCTAAAACCAATACAAATTTAAAAAAAGAAAAAGAAAAAGCATGTTTCCAATTTAGCTTCCTGCAACTATACACTTTATCATTCTCTATTCAGCACCTTCTTTCCCAAAAGATGTATTAATTCAAATCTATTTGAGATTCCATAAAGGAACATAGGCCGGAAAATCCAACTGTCCAATTTTATTTTATTTTTATTTTTTAAATATATTTTATTGATTTTTTACAGAGAGGAAGAGAGAGAGATAGTTAGAAACATCAATGAGAGAGAAACATCAATCAGCTGCCTCCTGTACATCCCCCACCGGGGATATGCCCGCAACCCAGGTACATGCCCTTGACCGGAATCGAACCTGGGACCTTTCAGTCCGCAAGCTGACGCTCTATCCACTGAACCAAACCGGTTTCGGCCAACTGTCCAATTTTAAATCCCACCTCTACCAGCAACCATCTGCCTGTGTGACGTTGATTAAGTTATTCAACCTCATTAAACCACTGTTTCCTCATTTGTAAAGTGGGGATGTTGCTAATAATGACGAAATTGTATGTAAAGTGTTTAGCACAGGCCTGGCTCAAACAAGGCACTCAATATAAATAAATCTTATTATAAGAAAACGTTAAAAGCTTTGGAGCTAAAGAATAATACTTTACAACCATTCTCTCTTTCTCTGTGTGTGTGTGCGCGTGCGTGTGTGTGTGTGTGTGTGCGTGCGTGTGTGTGTGTGTGTTTTAATTTATTTGAGACACACTGAACTTAGCAGGAAGTGTGCTTCAGAGATAATACATGCTCCCATTGACCACTGTATCATTTTGGGTTTGGTTTTTTTTTTTTTTGTAATATTTAAGTGTACTCTTTGTTTATATTGATGAGATCCTCTACTAAATTTTAGGGCATTGTTTGCTAGGATAAAGACACCCATCAGTTTGTCATGCTTCTAATGGGTCCATAGAGTAGAGAGAAAAAGAAAGGCATAAAAGCAAGGCCTTGCCCAGCTGGTGTGGATCAGTGGTTGACAGTCGGCCTGTGAATCAGGAGGTCACCCATTCGATTCCTAGTCAAGGCACATGCCTGGGTTGCGGGCTTGATCCCCATTTGGGCATATGCAGAAGGCAGCCAATCAACAGTTCTCTCTTATCATTGACTAGGGGCCCAGTGCACGAGTTTGTGCACCTTGAAATGAACTATGGGATTGAGGCTGTGGTGGGCACAGCGGCAATTCTTGGCCCATCCTACACACCTCCACCCAGCCCTCCCACTGTGGCCCCTGGTTCCCTGTCTGCCGGCAGCCCCACTCCAGCCACCATGGCTTTCATAAGCTGATGGTGCCAGCCCCACTCCCACCCACTGATGGCGTGGAGCGATTGGGGCCGGCACCAGCAGTGGGTACAAGCAGGGCTGGTGCCGTCAGTGGGTGCGAGCAGCAGCTGCTGGCCCCGATTGCCCCTCAGGAGCAGAGGGAGGTGGAGAAGCCCCGAGAGGCAATCAGGACCAGCAGCCACCCCTCACACCCACTGATGGGACCAAGCAATCAGGGCCGGCGCCCACAGCAGGCGCAAGTGCCGGGTGGGACTGCAGCGTGCGGGAGCAAAGAATTTTCTGTAACCACCAGAGGCTCACCCTGATGACAGTGACTGATGCCCCACCTTGGCTGGTGCCCTTCCTCACCTGCTCCACATACTGCCGTGGCCAACACCTGCCATGTTCCACACACTCCCCTTGGTGGTCAGCACACATCATAGCGACCAGTTGTTTGGCCATTCTACAGTTCGGTCTATTTGCATATTAGCCTTTTATTATATAAGATGTTTCTCCTTTCCTCTCTGAAATTAATAAAAAAATATTTAAAAAATAAAATAAAGGTTTTAAGCTGGAGCAAAAGAAAAAAGCTGTGAAGAGAATAAAGAACACTGGACTGGGAGTTCTATATCCCTTTATCTATCACTGTATTAGTATCATAGCTATCATGTGATAGCTATGATCATGTTTTTAACTTGAAACAATCATCATGTTTTTAACTTGGAAATTGAGTAATTGAATAAGATAATGCCTTAGATTGTTCCCACTTTACGGTTCCGTGGTTTTGTTATTTTGCTGCCTACGGCTATGTGATAGTTATGGTAGAACTAGAGGTCCATTGCACAAAATTTGTGCTCTTGGGGGGGTCCCTCAGCCCAGCCTGAACCCTCTTGCAGTCCAGGAGCTCTCTGGGGATGTCCGACTAATAGCTTAGGCCTGCTCCCTGCCAGCAATCGGACATCCTTAGCACTGCCATGGAGGCAAGAGAGGCTCCTGCCACCACCACTGCACTTGCTAGCCATGAGCACAGCTTCTGGCACACTGACCACGAGGGGGAAGCTCCTGCATTGAGTGTCTGCCCCCTGGTGGTCAGTGTGCATCATAGCAACTGGTCATTCTGCCCTTTGGTCAATTTGCATATTAGCTTTTTATTATATAGGATATTTAAAGAGGTATGAAACTTGATTCCTGCTTTGTTAACTACTGAACAAGACTTGAGTAGCTAAAGAGGATTGGGAAGGGCATTTTAGACACTGGGACCCAACTCAAGAGGAAAAAAAAAGGTGAGCAACCAGACTCACTACAAACTTGGAGACACGTTCATAGTGTCTGGTTAGAGTAAAAGTATTAATGTTAGAAAGCTAGATTAGGTCGAGTTCTGTGGAGAACCCTGAATGTCAAGCAGTTGACAAGCATTTTATAAGCATTTGGCAGCCATTGGAGTATGTTGAGCAGGGAAGCATATTGTAACATCAAAAGGCATCATCAAAGAAAAATACAGACCTCCTCGACTTACAATAGAGTTATATCCCAATAAACCTATTATGAGTTGAAAAGATCATAAATAAAAAAATGCATTTAACACACCTAACCTACCTTAGCCTAGCCTAAGTTCAGCACATTTACATTAGCCTACAGTTAGGCAAAATCATCTTGCTGGAGTGGGGCTGCCCAGCATCATAGAGAGTATCGTACCACATATTACTAGCCCAGGAAAAGATCACAACTCAAAATTCAAAGTGTAGTTTCTGCTGAATTTGCACCAACATAATAGTGTAAGTCTAAACATAGTAGGTAGGTGACTGTACTTACAATGTAATTGAAAATCACTGGCCAAAAGTTGACAAAGCTAATAGTTTATAAATTTTGGATTCTTATTAAAATATACAATTCCAATATTCAGGAGAGAAGGAATTCCTAACTATTTAGACTGTGTCTGTATAACATTGTTTTAAAGAACAAAAGGAATACTAAAATAACCCCATTTTTATATGGGTTATTTGAATGAATTCCAAGTTATTTTAAAATTCAGGCAAAAAATTTATATATGTAGACTCAGCTTAAGTTTCTAGTTTTCATTATGTAAAGCTTTCAAGCAGACATGAGGGAATGTTTATCACTGAGAACCAGTGTGACCCTACCCACTGGGCCTGCTCACATTATTGATGTTGCACATGTGGGCCAAAGAGAATGGTCTTGGGGATAGTGCAAAGAATTACATTCATCAGGGCTAGTCAGTCAAATGTGAAAAAACTCAAATGCACTTGGTATCAATTGAAACTTTTAAAAAATAATCTAAAAGGATGTTTCTTGGTTTGTTTGCTTGTTTTCCTAGACCATTGACCTGTTGGCTTGCAAATAATATGTATGAATCTATGTGTTTCCTTCCAGGGTCTTTCTTCCCTGACTTCAAGCCCTCTGAAACAGTTTTTAAAATAGCATTTTGGCTCGGATACCTAAACAGCTGCATCAACCCTATTATATATCCATGTTCCAGTCAAGAGTTTAAAAAGGCCTTTCAGAATGTCTTGAGAATCCAGTGTCTCCGCAAAAAGCAGTCTTCCAAACGGGCCCTGGGATACACCCTGCACCCGCCCAGCCACGCCTCGGAGGGGCAGCACAAGGACCTGGTGCGCATCCCCGTGAGCTCAGGAGAGACCTTCTATAAGATCTCCAAGACAGATGGGGTCTGTGAATGGAAGTTTTTCTCTTCCTTGCCTCGTGGATCTGCCAAGATTACAGTGTCCAAAGACCAATCAGCCTGCACCACAGCCCGGGTGAGAAGTAAAAGCTTTTTGCAGGTCTGCTGCTGCATGGGGCCCTCGACCCCCAGCCATGGAGAGAACCATCAAATTCCAACCATTAAGATCCACACCATCTCCCTCAGTGAAAACGGGGAGGAAGTCTAGAGGACAGGAAAGGTCAGAAGGAAGGGGGGATAATCTTAGGCATGTTCATTCTTCCTGGATGACAAGACAGAACCCTCCAACCAGGGACCATCTGGGAATGGGTCGGGGAGGAGACCAACTCTTGGGCAGTGGGTAGGGCTCAGGGAGGAGGGAGGATGTCACACGGCCATTCAGTTCAAAATGAGGATAAACAGCACGTCCTCGAGGCTAATGCTCTCTGGGGCATCCTCTGAGCCCGCTCTCCACGTCTGACCCCTTCATTGAAAAACACCATGGGAAACAGAATTTCATGCACCATCCAAAAGTCTATAAATATAGGATTATGATTTCATCGTGAATATTTTCAGCACACACTCTAAGTTTGGAGCTAGTTCTCGATGGAGTGAGGGGATTTTTATTTTCAGGCTAACCATATTGACAGCGGTATTGGATATTTACAGGGTGAGGGCCTGGAGAGGAAGAGCCTTAAGATGGTGGCTGATACTCATTATTTTTAGAGCAAGTTTTACACTTCATTTCTGATACATCCAGTGTCTCAGCTTGGGTTAAACTTGACAGTGAGATTTACCTTTTTCGGGGACTTGACCAGCTAACTTCTCCTGATTCCCTAAGGATGAGGGTGAGGGGCTCACATATCTCTGCACTAAAGTAGGCACATCCTTTAGGCTTGGGTCTAGAGCAGCCGTGGGCAAACTACGGCCTGCGGGCTGGATCCGGCCCGTTTGAAAATGAATAAAACTATTGAAAAAAAAGACCGTACCCTTTTATGTAATGATGTTTACTTTGAATTTATATTAGTTCACACAAACACTCCATCCATGCTTTTGTTCCGGCCCTCCGGTCCAGTTTAAGAACCCATTGTGACCCTCAAGTCAAAAAGTTTGCCCACCCCTGGTCTAGAGTGTGTTGAAAGAACCAGCCAGTGAAAGGATGGTTTTTCCTATTGGAAGACAGTGGAGATGAGGGTAATTTTTTCAACTTAACTACTGTGGACAAAATTCCATTTAGCAGTTCCTAGACCAGATGGAGGAAGTCTTCTCATGTAAAGTATTTAAAGATCAAAAGGTTGGGGTGGAATGGGTGCTAATTTCATGCTAAATTAGAGGCTGCAAAATTACTCTACAGCCTCTTTGACATGGCCTGGAAAGATCTTTCTTGACAAATCACTTACCTTTTTCAGAACTCTATTATGAAAAGCCACAGGTGATAATATTTTGAAAGGCACATCTTGATTTCCATTTCTTCTCAGCTGCTTCACTTTTGCATAGTGGATGAGAGCCAAGGTCTCCATGCACCTGTAGAATGTTGGAATGAGCCTTATGATCTAAGTATATTCTTTCTGAAATTTGAGTGACACACACTTATCGTGGGAGCATACTGACTAAAAGCCCATCAATAGCAGGAGTTTGCAAAGAGTTTTTGACAGATGTCCATTTAGTCTGGTAAAAGATCCAGTATCCCATTCACTTCATTTATTTCCACTTTCTTCAGGCAACATGCTACTTTTTGGTTTTTGTCTACCAAATTTTGGTAAACCTTAATAACTCAGTATACCTACTAAATATGAAGATGGTAATTATATGTAAAAATTAAAATATTTTTCATATTTCACAGTAAGAATTTAAAATGAGGTTTTGAAATAATTATTGACAAGAATCACTGGTCTAAAACTACTTATCATTTCAGTGGGCTCTTTCCCCATATTTGGGTAATTCCCTCTAAAAATTTTGAAGTAGAATGTAGCCGTTATTTAAACCTTCACGGCAAAAATAGTAGCCAACATCATCTATTTCTTCTTCCCTTGCAGAAAAATGATAATTTCCTTAAATTCTTCTGAAAGGCTAATACCTGCGCATACTGCCATGGAGGGAATGTTTGTATGTGGACTGGATTTGGTTGTTGGTTGTGTTTGGACATAGAATATTACCACTTTCTCACCTCTTTCTGGAGAGTGTCTTCTTGCTGACCGGATAGACATTCTGTCTTGTGCTCATAAATTGGATTCTGGCATTAGATGTTGGCTGGATTTTTAGGCTCTTCTGGTCTTTCTGCATGGCCCACAACAGCTCTACCAGATGTGGCTGTCCTATTATGGATGTAGGCACCAGGGAAGGATGTGAATATGCAAACCTCGCTCCTCTTCTGCCTTAATAGGAAAAATAAGTTTCATTATTGAGAAGAACTTCTTTCAGAATCTGAATTTTAAAAAACACTCTGGCCAGGCTTCCCCTTCCAGGAACAACATCCCCATGAAAGAATGTAACAGTTTTTCTTCAGCAAAATATACTTCCATGTTTGAGATGATCTTTAAACTGCATTACTGACGAATTTAAATATTAGATATTTAAATTTAAGTTTAAGATCACCAGAAAGCTAGCATTAATGCCGGTGCTAATCAAAATAAACAACTAGAAAATCTTTCCATCATCAGACAAAAGCCATGACAATTGTGTTCATGCAAAATGATCCATAAATAATTGTCTGCTACACTCTTCTCCAACCCACTCCCTCCAGGGAGGTAAACTTTAACATTTTTTTCCTTTCCCATAATATGGTATTATGTATAAACACTCCAATTTTACAAGAAATTAATAATGTCACCCAAGACTTAGCCAAAGTGGGATAACAATATCCAAGATATTTTTTATTCACCCACAAAAAATCTCTGTACCTTTGAGCATGCCAAAAACTATCTAAAATTGTCACGGTTAAACAAATGGTGGTCATATTTATACTTACATGTGTACTGCATCTATTTGGAGTTTGAAGAATTTGCCCAGGGCAACAGGGGTCAGAATGTCTTCTCTAATGTGTTATGAAAAGCAGCTGCTTTGGGATTGTCTCCGTAGCACAAAGTCAGCTTGACATGATGGGATAGGCAAAACCTGATTTCTTCTGCAATTCAAATTGCATGCATTAAGAGAGACCTTGAATCTCTTTATTCAAAAATGTCCCCAAATGTTTGCAAGGATTTCAGGAAAGCATTTTGCTTGTCGCAGTTTTCTTCCTTTCACCTTTGTTGTGTCTCATCCGAGACCGCTCCTGCCTGTAATCACTCAGTGTATGCTAAACTCTCCAAAACATTGAGGCTTGTAACTCTCTCACCACCTACTTGAATTGGTCCAGCCATGGTAGACATTGGTATTTGGGTAAATAAATATTTTCTTAAGGCTTTTTTGTTAAGTGCTACTGTGTGCCAGGCATTACCAGGGCATTTTTGTATCCATTGTCTCTAAACCTCGTAGCAATTTCACAATTTCAAAAATATTCACGTTTTTTAGATTAAAACCTGATAGTTGAGAGTGACTAAGGACTTAAGGACTGGCTCAAAGCCAAGGAGGAACCATGATTCAATCCTGGTTCTCCCTGACATTAAAGTCTGCACGTTGTTGTTTTTCCCCACAGTACCCCTGCCTCGTGAATAGTGGGGATAGAAGTCCCCAAGTCAGGACCGGGTGTGCTAAGGATGCTAAGCCAGACCCGAGCTTTTTAATGCTTTGTTCCCTTGGGATTTGCTTGCCAATTAACTTTGATAAATATGCTGCCAAATATTCATTCCAGCCAAAACCAACAAATAGCAGGTCATAAATGCAAGGGTTTGGCGTCTATAATTCTATCAGACGGCACCGCTTTCCTAGGGCTCACTGCCTGGAATGTTACTCAGGCCTCGAAAGGAGGACAAACTGTATAAAATTGGGAGACGATGGGCATATAAGAGAATGCAGAAGAGGCTGCTGCATTGGCCTAGAATAGCAAAACACACGTGTGGGTATGAAATACATTGCATAGGGTACTGGCGTTATTGACTACCAACCACAGTTAATTGGCACACTTTTGGGAAATATATCATTTTTTAAACTAAATAAAAACAAATATGACATCACTTTTATCAACTGTATTCCAACAATTTTGTTTTTTTAGTTTGAGAAAGAGAAAATAAATTATAGGTATTTCACCAGGATTGCACAGAGCTCAGAGAATGTGTCAAATATGTGAATGCCGTATCTGTCACGATGGGGCCCTGGTTCAGAATGCTGATCTCCAGGTAGCCAGAGACCTGGGCAAATTTTGAAGATGGGGAATCGGTTGGCAGAGTGGCTACTTATTAGATGGCCTCCCTGGGTCCTGGGTTTCCTTTCTTAAATGAACACTTGATGTCCTGGGTGTCCCGGCCTCCCCACCCCTTCATAGTGAGCCATCATGCAGGCCCAGTAGGTTTCCTGCTTGCAGCCTGAGAGAACATTTTAAGACCTATTTGCTTGGGAGGGTAATTATTCAGTCTTTAATCACAGCTACTTAATCACAGCTTGACACACATTTTCACTTGCTCCTGGGGCTGGTTCTGCTCAGGTCCTCTTGCCAAAAGAGATGCTACGTGTTGACTTAATTAAGGGAAGAGCTCTGTTTATCAGCAAAGGGAGAAGGGAGCCCAAGTGCATGGAAGGTAAACTCTGCAAGCGAAGCAGGGTGTTGAAATAGAAGGCAGAGGTGGTAACTATGGAGACAACATCAGATGTATGCTCACCTGTTACTCTGATTTCTTTTTAAACTACTAGGACTTTTAACCATGAAACCACTTGCACACAGCTCCGGTTAAGCTAGTTGGAACACTGTTGGCAACTGCTCCTTGTCTACAAAGTGTGCGGTGGAGTAGGCCACCATCGTCAAAAAGCAATGGCAGTGGTGGCCTCTGGCCTCCAAAGTCCCTGCAAGATGACTGTTGTAGGGCTGGGCTGGCAAAAGCAAGTCAGGATTTGAACAGAGGACACCGGACCCTAGCCAGTGCTCCCATCAGCATTACCTCATTCATGTTCCCAAGACCCAAATGTCACGGGGGCCGAGGATGGACCTTATCTGCCCTGTGCAGGAAAATGCCATCTCTCCTTTGCTCTTGCAACACAGATTACTGAGTGCCCCACCCAAAAGGAAGGTTATGGCATCGGGGAGGGGGCTGTTGAGGAGAAAGAAGATTTACCATAGATATTCTCAAAGCAGGATGGATGGTTGAGGAA